TTAATGAAATTTTAAGCTGTTCTATGTGTCACCCTTGTTGACCAACGCCCACGTTACCCTTCTTCTTCTTTCTCTTCTCATCGTTAATGAGATTGAATGTTCTCGATGATGGGAAATGGAGAAGTTGCCTCGAGAGCTCCAACAATTTCTTCCTCTTCCGGTCGAAAAACTCCCTCTATTTTGCCAGCATTTTTGGTCCCCGTTGGAGGGATTGGATTCTATACTTCAATCTTGGGGGTAATATGGTGTGGTGACGTCATCAGTCATGTCGTAACGTGGGAATATTTATCATGTGAGAGTACGTCATCATTCGGGGTATAAGATTGGAATATTTAATACGTGAAAGTATGGTGAACACTAGTACATATGTGCAAACTTCATATGTGGAGAAATATATACATTTATATTATCACATATGTGAATTTCATATACATGAAATGAATTATGAAGAATGAATTTCATTCGAGCAATTTATATGTACATAATGTAAAATAAAAATGAAATAATACTAATAAAAAAATGACAATATAAATTACTTTATTATAAAATGTTAAATAATTCATATTTCATATGTGGAATATCAAAATTCATATGTGGAAAATAATTTCATATGTGCAAACTTCATATGTGGAGGAACATATACAAATATAAATTCACATATGTGAATTTCATATACATGAAATGAATTATGAAGTACGAATTTCATTCGAGTAATTTATATATACATAATGTAAAATAAAAATGAAATAGTACTAATAAAAAAATAACAATATAAATCACTTTATTATAAAATGTTAAATAATTAAAGTCTTCCCAATTTTTGATTTATTTAAAAGTTACTCCTCAATTATCAACTACCAAAAAAGCTACCCTTAACAACTTTAATTACAATTTTTACAACCTAACCTAACATAATTACAATTTATAAATATAAAATTTTTTAATCAGAATTAAATGCAAAACTAAACTATCGCACTCACAAATAAGAAATTTAATAAATTATTATTAGTTTATCAAATTGTCTCATTGAACGAAAAAATGTTAACTTCAAAATGAGATTCAGTATCGCAACAGGTGTCGCTCGCTCTGTAATTTATTTTTAAATTATATCACAGCAGCTCGTATACTTATTTCCGGTGCAATATCAATTCCCAGTAAATTCCGCCATGCTAATCCGGCAGGGTGAATTAAGTTAAAGAGTAAATTTCTGTTCTCTCTCGTTATCGTTGTCTCTTCAGACTTCTGGGAAAGGTGGTAAACGATCGACCCGTTTCGTGAAATTCTAAATCCCTTGGCTAAGCAGCTTATCATTTCTCGCGATTTGTGTGGAAGTTGGGGTCATTGAACCGAAAACCTTGACGAGGTATTGAAAAGAGTCGATCGGTGACATAAAAGGAGGGAAAGCATCTGACAAGCTTTTTGCAACTCATTTTAGATGGGACATTAATCATAGGGAATTCTGTATTCGTTTGGTAAAAGATTTGTTAAATTTTTAAATTTTGTATTTTGGAGATTTTTTAATTTTTTAATTTGCGAGATTTTTTAACTTGTGAGATTTTTAATTGGCAAAGCAAATTTTTCTAGTTTAATAATTTAGGAATTCGGTTCAAGTTACCAAATTTCGAAAATTTTGAATTCTTGAATTTGTTAATATGTGAATTTTTATATTCAAAATTTTGAGGATGTATGTTGCAAATTTTGAAATTTTTGAGTTTCAGAATTTTCATACACCTGTTTCACAATACCAATATTTTCAAATATTTAAAATTCCAAATTTCTAAATTTCTAATTACTTAAATTTCCAAATACCTAAATTTCCAAATTTCCAAATTTCTAATTACCTAAATTTCCAAGTTCCTAAGTTTCTAAATTTCTAAACTTCCAAACTCTTAAATTTCCAAGTTTCTAAAATTCCGTATTCCTAATTTTCCCAATCACAAAATCTCAAAATCCCAAATTCGCAACCAACCCAACTTCCTAAACCTCAAATTCTCAAATTTTTGTATCCCCACATCCTCAACTTTCTTATTTCCAAATTTCCAAATTTCTAAATTTCTAAATACCTAAATTTCCAAATTTCCAAATTTCTAATTACCTAAATTTCCAAATACCTAAATTTCCAAATTCTCCAATTTCCAAAATTCCTAAATTTTCTGATTACCTAAATTACCAAATACCTAAATTTCCAAATTTCTAAATTTCTAATTACTTAAATTTCCAAATTCTTAAATTTCCAAATTCCCAAATTTCCAAATTTCTAAATTTCTAAATACCTAAATTTCCAAATACCTAAATTTCCAAAATTCTTAAATTCCTAATTACCTAAATTACCAAATACCTAAATTTCCAAATTTCTAAATTTCTAAATTTCCAAATTCTCAAATTTCCAAAATTCCTAAATTTCTAATTATCTAAATTACCAAATACCTACATTTCCAAATTTCAAAATTTCTAATTACTTAAATTACCAAATATCTAAATTTTCAAATTTCTAAATTTCTAATTACTTAAATTTCCAAATACCTAAATTTCCAAATTCCCAAATTTCCAAATTCCCAAATTTCCAAATTCCCAAATTTCCAAATTTCCAAATTCCCAAATTTCCAAATTCCCAAATTTCCAAATTCCCAAATTTCTAAATACCTAAATCTGCAAATACCTAAATTTCCAAATTCCAAATAAAATGATGACTTAAACCACCCCTAATTTTGCTTGAGCCACCTTGTACTTTCACCAAAATCCACAAAAGAAAATAGCACAAACTCAACGCAGCAGTCTGCACTTCATCTAAAAATAATTTCTCATTAAACAAAATATATCAACCTCCTTAAACAATTAAAATTTTGTCTCAATACACTAAGAAAGTGATATTGAAGACAAAGGTACTACAATAGAATTCGACCCTTGTTAATCTGTCGAGCATTCGAAGACCACTAAACGTCCACGCATCTACTGGAAACCGCGATCCTGTGAACGTTTAATATTTCACGCGGAAATCCATTGAATCCTCGGTGGTTTCTCGTTTTACCATTCTCGAATATTAACAAGCATTTCACTGATGTCCAAACCAAATCCGTTTAACAGAATCGGAGATCTCCAGATTAATTATGCCAAGACCCGCGCTACCCGAAGAAAATTAATTGGATCTGTAAATCAGATCGTACTTTCAAAAATACTAAATTTTAATAAACGACGCAGTTTGTTAAGTTAAGACGCGTAGGAGAAACGTTTCTTGCAGGTCCGTGTACCTCGCGTTTGTTAAACGCGTAAACAAAGCGAATATATTAGAAAACATAAATTGTGGTTGAGCCAGCAACTGAAGCCTTTAACAGCATCGTTTAACCGAGCATTTCATTTCTTGCGAGCTGGCTGAGAAATTAAATCGGCCCCGATTTAAAGTGGCAATTTCGACCGGGAAAACTACGATACATGTTTGCTGGCCTCATCTCGTTCAATTTGTAGAATTTACGATCGTAGCTTCCGTTTAAAAGTTTCTAGTCATTTACTATCTTCTAATCGCTCAATAAAGCTACCGTGCTCTTGCAACGTAAAAATATCGTTAAATTTATGAGAATTTTTTGGGAAACGTTATTAATTCGAAAATACAGACTTTATAGTAGAAGTCAGCTTTGAGGTATAATAACAATTTAGGTATAAATATAAGTTATTTTTATGGATAAATTGTATTAAATATACGGTGTAAACGGTTTAAGAAATTTTGATGCACCGAACCGACTATGCGGAAGGGTTTTTCTCTCATAACTTTGTATGCAGTCGTCATACGAAGAAATGTTATAGACAAGAATTATTCGTATTGATGAGAGCTTTAAAACGGTATATAGTTTGTAGAGAAACTCCATTTGGATTCGTTGATACGAAATTTATTGACCGAACCGACTATGCGGAAGGGTTTTTCTTTCGTAACTTTGTATGCAGTCGTCATACGAAGAATTTTCATGAACAAGAATTATTCGTATTGACGAGACCTTTAAAACGGTATGTAGTTTGTAGAGAAACTCCATCTAGATTCGTTGATACGAAATTTATTAACCGAACCGACTATGCGGAAGGGTTTTTCTCTCATAACTTTGTATGCAGTCGTCATATGAAGAATTTTCATGGACAGGAATTATTCGTATGGACAAGACCTTTAAAACGGTGTATAGTTTGTGGAGAAATTCCTACTAGACTTGTTGCTACGAAATTTGTTCACCGAACCGACTCTGCGTAAGCGTTTTTATTCTATAACTATTAACTCAATCATGACACGAAGAATTGTCGTAGACAAAAATTATTCGCATTAAAAATACTTTTAAAACGGTATATAGTTTGTGGAGAAATTCCATCTAGATTCGTTGATACGAAATTTATTGACCGAACCGACTGTGCGGAAGGGTTTTTGCTTCATAACTTTTCATATAATCCTTATACGGAGAATTTTCATAGACAAAAATTATTCGCACTAACGAGAGCTTTAAAACGGTATATATTTTGTAGAGAAATTCCATCTAGATTTGTAGCTGCAAAGAGATTCTAATTGCAAAGTTTAATAATCAAGCGATAATGCCAATAGCAGTGATACTGTCTGTTAACGGACGACTTTGTTTAATTGAACCGACTCGTTTCAAACATTGCAATCGAAACTTTTCTCTGTTTAGCTGAATCGGGGAACTCGGTTCGACAGATTAGTATCGCGAAAGCAATTTTCTCGTGAACTTTCGAACTCAATTCAGAACCGTGAAACCAATTGTCGATGTCCGGTTATATATTTTCCACACCGTTCATCCTTTTTTTGATTAATCGTAATATTCTACAAATATTACATTTAAATTTTTATACAATACAAATTATTCAAAAATTAAATTTAATTAATTTTATTTCAAATGAAAGTTTTAAAAAATTAAACGTTTGGTAATTTTACTTTAGAAATTATAGGTTTGTTAGCTTATAAGAATTGAATTGTTAATAATTTGCAGTTTTAACAATAGCTTTCTTTTCAGTGCGATATAAGAAGAGAAACATGGATACAAGAACGAGTTTAATAACCACGAGCGTGGCTGTTCTGTACGTGGTGGGAATGGTCGGAATGTCGGTCGCCGCGGTCGAAGAAACCCCTTCTTCTTCAATGAACGTACAACCCTATAATACAATGTTGAATTCAGTGGGTTTCGACGATCCAATTCCTGACAAAAGAGCGTACACTTACGTCTCTGAGTACAAAAGGCTACCAGTTTATAACTTCGGTATTGGAAAACGGTGGGCTGATAACAGCGACGATAAAGTAAGCAAGAAATGTTGATTTCCATTTTACATTTACATACTTCGGCTTAAACTTTATTCCTTCAATTATTATGGACAACTTTTAATTCATTGAAATAAATTAATTATTTGTTCAAATGGAGATTTATTAATTTATTAATTAATTGGTTTATTAATTTGTTCAAATTGAGATAATTTATTAATTTGTTCTGATTCATTTAATTGCTAAAATTGAATAGATTCTGCACTATATTGTTTAGTTTTGGAGGTCTCAAGTTTTTAAAAATTGGGGACAATGAAAGTTGAGGTGAGGCGCCGCCATTTTGTCAGACGCCGCCATCTTGAATGCATTACATTCTCAAGAACTACGATATATTAATATTTTCTTTTTAATATCAACTATTTAGTTTAATTCCTCTATAATTTAGCTTTTCTTGCAATTTTTTGATCTGGAAATTGTCCTCAAGCTTGAAATATTGAAACAGAGATTAGAAACTGCAATTTAAAGGCACCGCCATTTTGTGAACGCAGCGTCCATCTTGAGTGCACTAAGTTCTCAAGAACTATTACATTATTATAGTATTTATTTCAATATCTACTATTTAATTTAATTTTTCTATAATTTTAAAAGCATTTCTTTCAATTTTTTAATCTTAAAATTGTCCCCAAGCTTGAAATATTGAAAGATGTATTAAAAACTCCAATTTTAAAAACGCCGCCATTTTGTGGACGTAGCGGCCATCTTGAACACACCAAACTCTAGAGAACTACTTTAATTAACTATTATAGTTAATGAACTGTCATTTAATGAATAATAATTTAAGAACCATCATTTACTTTAATGTCTCTATAATTTTAAAAACTTTTCAGTCCTAAAACTTTTAATTCAAAAATTGTTCTAAAACCTGAAATATTGAAATAGGGACCAAAAACTAATTTTCCAATGCTTCTCCATAACCTATAATCCATGCAAAACTAAATTCAGAAAAATTATAAAATTTTTAAAACTTGAAAAACTCCTTCTTCTCCCAAATTTTTAAAATTCGAAAGAATCCTTGCACTAACCCAACCTAAATCCCCAAAAGTCACCATAATTTTTCAACTGTTCCAGAGAGGTCGTCCCTACTCCTTCGGCTTAGGAAAACGTCTAAAACAATACAGTTTCGGTCTGGGAAAGCGAAGCGACAACACCGACTACCCTATCCGACTAAATCTCGACTACCTCCCCGTCGACGGCTTAACCTTGCACTCCCAAGAAAACGTAGACGATTTCCTCGAAGAGAAACGCAACAGGCAGCCGTACAGCTTCGGTCTGGGTAAAAGAGGGGTGCACTACGCGTCTGGACAATCGGTGGCCACCGGAAAACGACCGAACGACGTTTTCAGCCAGAGATACCACTTCGGTTTGGGGAAAAGGATGTCGGAGGACGAGGAGGACATGCAATAGGACCTCTAGGTCCGAATACCTCGGTCGATCGAACTCGATCTTGTAAACGCTCGGAAAAGTAGCTCTCCATCTCGATGTCGCACAGAGTTTTATTGTCAGATAAAAGTATATCGATAACAATAAAGAACAAGTTTTGAAGTTTCCTCCTTCCTGAATTCTTCTTTCTTTTTTTGTTGTTCTTGCGATTTTTTTTTGTTTTGCCTCTGCGGTTTTTTGGGGACCTTTGTGAGATCTACTGTGGTTTTGTGGAGGGTGAGAAGTTTGGAGTTTTTGGATGGTGAGAAGTTTTAAGGTTTTCTTTTGGGGGAAAATTCTTGAGGGGGTTTGAATTTCTTCGAGGGTGGGATTTGATGGATTTTGTGTGGTTTCTTTGTTTTTTGAAGGAAGGCTGCGGAATTTAATTACAAGGCTGGGAATTAAGCTTATGTTTTCTTCTTTTAGGTTATGAAGGTTTCTTTGTCTTCCTTTTTCACAGCTTTTGCTCTTTTATTAGGAATTTGAAGAAATTTCTTTTGGGGTCTGATAGATCTATTTTGTAGAGAAATTTCTTCAGTTTCTAAATGATATTGCAAGGCTGGGAATTTGGGAATTAAATTTAAATGTGTTTTCTTCTTTTAGGTTATGAAGATTTCTTTGCCTTCCTTTTTCACAGCTTTTGCTCTTTTATTAGGAATTTGAAGAAATTTCTTTCGGGGTCTGATAAATCTATTTTGTAGCGAAGTTTCTTCAGTTTCAGTTTCAATTGCAAGGCTGGGAATTTGGGAATTAAATTTAAATGTGTTTTGTTCTTTTAGGTTATGAAGATTTCTTTGTCTTCCTTTTTCGCAGCTTTTGCTCTTTTATTAAAAATTTGAAGAAGTTTATTTTGGGATCTGATAGATCTATTTTTTAAAGAAGCTTCTTGATTTTTTAATTAATATTGCAAGGCTGGGAATTTGGGAATTAAATTTAAATGTGTTTTCTTCTTCTAGGTTATGAAGGTTTCTTTGCCTTCCTTTTTCGCAGCCTTTGCTCTTTTATTAGAAATTTGAAGAAGTTTATTTTGGGATCTGATAGATCTATTTTTTAAAGAAGCTTCTTCATTTTTTAATTAATATTGCAGAGCTGGGAATTTGGGAATTAAATTTAAATGTGTTTTCTTCTTTCAGGTTATAAAGTTTGTTTCTTTGTTTCTCTCTCTCTATTTTTCTAATTATAATCGATGTCTTCAAAAGAAATTTTGAAAAGTTTGAATTCTAATCTCTTCCTTCCTTGCCTTTTTTTTGTCAATTAAAGAAATTTCTTTGGAACCATTAGATCTTCACGAAGGTTTTACCTGCGCTTACAATCGCAAACCTTGTTATGCTTCTTGCAAGATTTTAATTATAAAACTTAATTTCGTGCTCGGATGTTATCTTTATGCTTTGCTATTTATGTACAAAATTGTAAAAATTAAAGAATCGAATTGTGTCAGTATTTTTAATATGCGACGCACAATGAAACCGCTTTAAGTATTAAAATTTTAATTAAGACTAATTAAAACAGTTAATAATATTAAGCTTGTACTATTTTTTAAGAAAAATACTTTAATGTTTATCTTAACAATATTTAAAAATTATAAATGTTGCTTCCAAAAAATTTAACATAAAATGAGAAAAAATCAAGGTAGCAAGAAATGAAGTAATTTAATAAAAATACAAATTTTTTCGATCGAATTTTTTTAGAAATTTAAGTAATGACACAGTTTGATTATTTAATTGAACACAGCTCTCGATTCTACATCTTACAATTAGTTTCTCAGAGCTACAATAAGCTTCTATTGTATATTTTTACAAAATCGAATTAAAAGTGTTAAAACAGAGTGTCCCAGTCTCCTTCATTTAAAACACTTGTATTAAATTGAAACTTGTAAGCCTCTTTCAGTCGCTCGATTTCTGTTTGAGTATCAAATAAATGTTCCTCCGTATAGAATGAGAAAAATATTGAAGATTAATTATTCAAGCCCCTGTTGTCACAGTCGAAAATTGAAATGTGTGTAGACGACAATATCAGAGATTAGGAAATCTGAAATGATAGTCTGCAACATTTCATGGTGAACACGCCCCCTGTTAATTACGATTGTCTGGCAGTTTCTGTTCAGAATTGCTTGTTGAAGCTTCAAAAAATTCTTTTACTAAAAATATAAAGTTAACAGTTATATAAAAAAAAATTTGTAAAAATAATATTATAAACGAGGTTACTAAAAATATTAAGGGTCTTTGTGCAACTAGTTTGTATAATAAAAATAATTTTTTAAATAATATACTGAATGTATTAATGTACTAAAAATATTTTTATAATAATAACACACTAAAAATACACTGAAAGAATCAATTAAAAATGATGTGCTAAAAATATTTAAAAAATAATAACACACTAAAAATAAACTGAATGATTAAATTAAAAATGATGTGCTAAAAATATTTAAAAAATAATAACACAGTAAAAATACACTGAAAAAATAAATTAAAAATGATGTGCTAAAAATATTTAAAAAATAATAACACAGTAAAAATACACTGAAAGGATAAACTAAAAATGACATACTAATAATATTTTTTAAATAATAACACATTAAAAATACACTAAAAGTATAAACTAAAAATGATGTACTAAAAATATTTTAAAAATAATAACACTGAAAATACACTGAAATAAATAATTTTGTACTAGAAAATTAATTCGAAAAATCATTAAATTAATGCAGTGATAAAATTAATAAATGAAATATGAAATAAAATTGCTATAAATGAGGAAAGATTCAGTAATGAATTTTGATGAGTTTTATTTTTCGTAAGAATGAAGATGTGGTACGAAATTCTTTTGCTGTTGTTATTGACAAAAGTGTGCGTGGGCATCGAGAAATATTGGTTGCCAAACTTGGAATGGGAAACAGCTAGAAATTGGGTGGAGAACCGGACACCGGAAATGGACAGTCGCGTGATTTTTCCTCTGGAAATGAGACACGCTGCGGGTCTTTCGATTTCCAAGGATCTTAGATTTTCTGGCTTCGATTTAGCTAGGACTGGATCTCTGGTTTTACCTAGAGATGGAAATATACAGGTATTTATTACAGGTCAATACTTTTTAAAAAATTTACATTCGTTCTTTAAGGAAAAATAAATCAATTCATACTACAATTATTTCTATAAATTGAAAATAAATTTTGTAACTATAATTATATATCAAGTTTAAGTGAATTAATTTTATAATTATAATCACATACCAATCATAAGTCAATTAATTCTGTAACTCAAACATGAAATCAATCATGAAATTTCAAGCATGCTGCAATAAAAAAAAATAATTTTTCCTTCATCTTAAAAACTTCTCTGCTTTCTTGTTTACTCAAAATGAAAATCTTTTAAGAAGCTTGAAATAGCAGAGAAAAATTTCTTTAATATAAAATTTAATTTCTATAAAATCTAATTTACATAAAACACAAGATTCTTTTACGAGAATAGCAGCGAGCAAGCAAAATAATATTCTAATTCGATTAAAAATCAATCTCCTGTCGCTAATAGTTATTCCAGTAGACTTATCTTTAAAGAAATTATTCTGTATGATGCCGCGAGAATCAGTTTTTAATTTCCGAAGGTGGAAAAATATCGACGCGTCACAAGGATTTTGCAACCGGCGACAAATTACTTCGAAAATTGTGTTGAAACTTTCTCATTTCGCGTCCCATTAGCTTCTGAGTTACAATCGAAATATAAAACATAAATCTGCGCCGCTTATCAGGCACGGGACGCACTGAAAATTGATTATGCTTCGTTACTCCAGTTAATTTTACTTTATAAGCTTAGAGTTTTTACAAAAATTTTTTACGAAAAAGGGAGGAAAGTAGAATTTGGGAAATTTGGAAATTAGAATTTTTAGAAATTGGGGAGTGTAGAAACTGGGGGATATAGAAATGGGGAAATTGAGAAATTGGAGGATGTAGAAATTGGGAAATTGAGAAATTGAGAAATTGGGGGATGTAGAAATTGGAAAATTGAGAAATTAGGGGTTGTAGAAATTGGGGAATGTAGAAATTGGGGGTTTTTAGAATTTGGGAAATGTAGAAATTGGGGGATGCAGAAATTGGAGAATTTAGAATTTTAGAAATTTAGAAATTAGAATTTTTAGAAATTGGGGGATATAGAAATGGGGAAACTGAGAAATTAGGGGTTGTAGAAATTGGAGGATGTAGAAATTGGAAAATTGAGAAATTGGGGGATGTAGAAATTGGAAAATTGAGAAATTAGGGGTTGTAGAAATTGGGGAATGTAGAAATTGGGGGTTTTTAGAATTTGGGAAATGTAGAAATTGGGGGATGCAGAAATTGGAGAATTTAGAATTTTAGAAATTTAGAAATTAGAATTTTTAGAAATTGGGGGATATAGAAATGGGGAAACTGAGAAATTAGGGGTTGTAGAAATTGGAGGATGTAGAAATTGGAAAATTGAGAAATTGGGGGATGTAGAAATTGGAAAATTGAGAAATTAAGGGTTGTAGAAATTGGGGGATATAGAAATTGAAAACTTGAGAAATTAGGGGTTGTAAAAATTGGAGGATGTAGACTTTTGGAAATTTAAAAATTAAGGGATGTAGAAATTGGAATATTTAGAATTTTGAAAGAACACAATTTTAAGCAACTGTATTCCTAATATTATTTTCTGAAATAATTCTAATTTTACATTCTAACATATCCTAAAATTCAATATATATTTTACTCGAAATAATTCTAACTTCACATCGTAACATAACCCAAAATTCGGTACACATATATTTTACCTAAAATCCTTTTACCTAAATCCAACAGCAATTATATTTTTCTCCAAATGAAAATAGAAGTTTTCTTTCTGGTACTTTTCATAGTTGTGTACATATAAAAGTTCACCTATTACCAATATAAACAAAAATTGTATTAATTAATTTAACTCCCCATTAAGATACTCAGCAAGTAAAAATGTGTTTGCAATTAAAATCAAGGTTTGTTGAGTAAAAATTTGATTTTGTTCATTCTTCGTTCATCTTATTATGCATTGAATATCAACAGTTGAAAGAAGAGGAAAAGTCAAAGGTGAAAATCAGTCAATGGGCAAGAACAGGGCACATATTTTGGGCCGATCCTCAAAACTGGAACGGAAGTTCGGAAGCAGCGCCTCATCTTGAGCGAGTTCCGTGTCGACAGGATGATATTGTTCTACCGGAGAAGAAGAAGACTTTTAGTATTCTTTTACCGATGAGGAATATAGAAGTGAGATCTGTTAGAATGTCGGACGAGAAGCATCCATTGAGTTCGTGGCAGTGGACCGAGATGGAAGACAGGAGGGAGTTTCATAAAAGATTCACTGTGTCGTACGTGGTTTTTATGTTATGATGGCAATTGACGAGTTTGGAAGATTTGGAATTTGGGGATTGCAAGTTTGGGAATTTAGGGATTTAGAAATATAGGAATTTGAGGGACTGTTTTTAGGGATTTGGAAGGATGGAAATTTAGGGATTTAAAAGTGTAGGAATTTAGGAGACTTTTTTAGGGATTTGGGGATTTGGTAGGATGGAAATTTAGGGATTTAAAAGTGTAGGAATTTAGGAGACTTTTTTAGGGGTTTGGGGACTACAAGTTTGGGAATTTAGGGATTAAAAAATATAGGAATTTGAGGGACTGCTTTTAGGGATTTGGGGGTTGCAAGTTTGGGAAGTTTGAATTTTGGAGATTTAGAAATTTGGGGGCTGGAGGATTTGGAAATTTAAAAATTTGAGGATGTAGGAATTTAAAAATTTTTAAATTTGGGATTTTAGAGAGTTTGGAAAATTTAGAAATTTTGGGGATTTAGAGACTTAAAGATTTTAGAGGTTTGGTAATTTAGGGATTTGAATATCTAGAGATTTGGGAATTTGGAGTATTAGAAATTTAGGAATTTGGTAATTTAGAAATTTGGAAATTTAGGTAATTAAATTTTAGAAATTTGGAAATTTAGGTAATTAAATTTTAGAAATTTGGAAATTTAGGAATTTGGTAATCTTAGAGATTTGAATATTTAGCAATTTAGAAGCTTGAAAATTTGGTAAGTTTCAGAATTGGTAATTTAGAGATTTGAAAAATTAAGGACTTAGAAACATAAAAATTTGTAAAAATATAGATTTGAAAATTTAGAAATTTGGTAATTTAGGAATTTGGAAATATAGATTCAAATCTTACAAATTTAATAATGTAAAAACCCTAAAATTGAACCTATAATTTTAAAATATAAATTCTCTCATGATACAGATATGCCGAGTACAGTTGTAATAAATGCACCTGCCAAAATGATCAAAATGGCGACTATCTCGAAGAAATCTGTGCCATTGAGAGACCAAAATGTGGATTCACGCCTTGCGAGTTTCCTCTCACGGTACAGTAATTAATAATTTATCTCAATTTCAACTTACCTCAAAAATAATATCTTACAAAAAAAAGGAAAACAAGTTTGCAGAAAATAAATGAAATTTGAGAAAAATATCCTAGGCTTGAAAAATAAAATTAAATTTGATGGAGGTAAATGAAATTTGTAGAAAATAAATTATATTCGAAGATGAATTAAATTTGAAGAAACTAAATTAAATTATAGAAAATAAATTAGTCTTGAAGATAAATTAAATTTGATGTAGGTAAACAAAATTTGTAGAAAATAAATTAATCTTGAAGACAAATTAAATTTGAAAAATTAGATGAACTTTGAAGAAAATAAATTAGTCTTGAAGACAAATTAAATGTGAAAAACTAAATGAAATTTGAAGAAAGTAAATTTGTAGAAAATAAATTAGTCTTGAAGACAAATTAAATTTGAAAAATTAAATTAAATTTGAAGAAAATAAATTAGATTTGAAGATAAATTAAATTAAATTTGAAGAAAATAAATTTGTAGAAAATAAATTAGTCTTGAAGACAAATTAAATTTGAAGAAAATAAATTAGATGTGAAGATAAATTAAATTTGTCAAAAACATACCAAACTTAAAAAATTAAATCCGAAGAAAATAAACTTGTAGAAAATAAATCAAACTTAAAGCAAACAATGTTGAAACTCGAAAAAGACAAATTGTATTTGTAAACGACGAGTCAGAGTTAAAAATGCTAAATTAAAAAAATAAAATAAACGATAAATATGCATTCTAAAAATAAATAAATCAAGAGACTCTACTCGTTCTCTTGCGTCAATGATTTATTAGAAACAACCCGATAAAAATCGCGATCTCAAAGATTTCAATTTCCGGTATTGCTTCAGGTTGAAGGCCACTGTTGTCGATATTGTGGCGGTCGAGTGTCTTTGACAAACAAAGCATCTTTGCCGGTGGTTCGTGTTGCAGCAGACGAAGCTTTCGAGGGATACACAGAAAGCCTAGCATGGCATGTCAGACGTACTTCGAACGGGGCAGTCGAAGTATTGATAAAGGAAAAGAACGACTATACCGAAATCAATATCCTCGAAGCGGTGGAAAATATGAAGAAGGCTTTAATAAGTAATTTCTTTATTGTCCACGTCACTTTCATCGTCTTTCATCTCTTTGAAGCTTCTGCATTTTATCGCGTTTCATTTGTTCTTTGATCTTTGCGATTCTTTTTATAGATTTCAATATTTCAATTTTGATTCGTTTGCAAAATAATATAGGTTCTTTATTAGCAAAATTTGTGTAGAGTCAAGAAATTCTTTTATATTTGATTTAGTATTGCAAAAATTGCATTGTTTGAAGGTTTTATTAAAATTCAAGGTGCTTGAAACAATTTTAACTTTGATCATTTAAAAATTATGTAGGATTATTATCATCAAAATTTCTGTAGATTCAACACATTTTTTAGACTTGATTTTATTTATGGTATATTGCAAAAAGTGCATCATTTGAAGATTTTATTAAAATTCAAGGTGCTTGAAACAATTTTAACTTTGATCATTTAAAAATTATGTAGGATTATTATCATTAAAATTTCTGTAGATTCAACACATTTTTTAGACTTGATTTTATTTATAGAGTATTGCAAAAATTGAATTATTTAAAGATTCTCAAAAATTCAAAATTCAAGATGTCTGTCTTAAAACTTTTATCAATTTACAGTACCTGTAAAAAATATTATACATAGTATAAATTATACAGTTTAAAAACTTGATAAATCTTGTCTGAAAACTTGATGTTCAATTCAATAATTTATACAACGTGTCTCGTAACTATTTTAACTCCCTAAAAGGGTTGGATATCATTCTGAACAAGATTTTCCTTTGCAGAAATAGAATTTGAAGCTTCGTTTTTAAATTATTCTTAAGGAAAAATACTATTGTATCTTTGTTATGTATTCTACATATAAATTGTATGATTTAAACAGGTATGAACATTGAAGTATCGAGCACGGAAACCGCAGGTGCAGCTTTACAGGATAATCGGCTGGCGGTTGCACTTGTTCCTCTCTTTGGAACGCCATTCATCATCTTTGTCATACTGTTCTTCGTTTTCTTGTACTTTGGGTACTCATACAGACAGTACGTATAAGAATTTATAGAAGATGCATGATTTTATGATTTTGGAATTTAATGAAATTTTTTATATTTTTGGTTCTTGTGTATTGGGGGTTGGGGAGGAGAGGGTGGGAAAGATTGGAAATTGGGGAATTGAGAAATTAGGGGATGTGGAAGTTGGGGGAGTAGAAATTGGGATTTTTAGAAATTAGGGGATGTAGAAATTGGGGTTTTCAGAAATTAGGAAATGTAGAAATTGGGGGATGTAGAAATTGGGATTTTTAGATATTAGGGGATGTAGAAATTGGGGAATGTAGAAATTGGGATTTTTAGAAATTAGGAAATGTAGAAATTGGGGGATGTAGAAATTAGGGGATGTAGAAATTGGGGGATGTAGGAATTGGGGTTTTTAGAAATTAGGAAATGTAGAAATTGGGGGATGTAGAAATTAGGGGATGTAGAAATTGGGGGATGTAGGAATTGGGGTTTTTAGAAATTAGGAAATGTAGAAATTGGGGGATGTCGAAATTGGGGTTTTTAGAAATTAAGAAATGTAGAAATTGGGGGATGTAGAAATTGGGGTTTTTAGAAATTAGGAAATGTAGAAATTGGGGTTTTTAGAAATTAGGGTATGTAGAAATTGGGGAATGTAGAAAGTAGAGAACGTAGAAATTGGGAAATGTAGAAATTCGGGGATGTAGAAATTAGAGAACGTAGAAATTGGGGTTTTTAGAAATTAGAGGACGCAGAAATTGGGGAGTGTAGAAATTAGGGAATATGGAAATTGGAAAATGTAGAAATTAGGGAATATGGAAATTGGAAAATGTAGAAATTAGGGAATTTAGAAATTGCAGAATGTAGAATCTGGGGAATGTAGAATTTTGAAAACTTAGAAATTAGAAAACGTAGAAGTAGTTTAGAAATCCACTAACCTAGAAACCTAATACTCTCAAAATCCCTATAATACCCTGGAACACCCTAAAATACCGTAGAATACCCTAGAACACCCTATAACTCTCCTTAACACCCCAAAACCCAATAAACCCTCCAAAAAAAACTCCCAAACCACATTTATCAAAAACCACCCCCTAAAAATTAAATTGGAGAAAATCTAAAAATCAATCACCCAAAATTACATAAAACAAAATTAAACATTACAATCACTCATAAAATTAAAAATCATTTCACCAAAGAATATCTCGAACAAAGTACATTTTAACAAGAGGGAAATGAGTAACTCATTCCCGGAAGGTGATCAACTTTTCCATGAAAATCGTTGTGTCTGACCCTTATATCCCGCCGTCACTATTTCGAGAGAGCGGATCGTATGGAAAAAGCACAGGAGAAAAAAAGAGAGCGAACGATGGAAAAAGTAATTACACGGATATGAAACACGAGACACTGTATGCAAGCGCCTCCACTTTCCCTTCTGTTGCATCCTGCAAACCGGAAGTCTGCGAAATTAACTTCCTCGCTGGATGTTCCTCCTCTGGAGTAGGCGAAATTTGTTTTCTCTTTCTTTCTGGAATACTTCGTTAGCTATGCACTTTCAAATATTATTTTTCTATTTTTATAATGTATTGTTTTATCAGATCTTTTATTTTGTTTTGTAATTCTTATTTTTGGCGTATTGTAGTCTTTTTTGTATTCTTTGTTTGGGTGGCTTTTTCTCGTTTAATTTTGTATTTTTTATTTGGGTGGTTTTGTACTTTTTGTGTCGTGTAATTTTTATTTTTGTTGACTGATATTTTTTATTTATGTGAAGACGCATTTTTTATTTATCTTTGTTGTTTATTTGTGTGATTTTGTCATTTTTATTTGTGCGCTTTTGTGTAATTTTGTTATTTTTATTTGTGTCATATTGTATTTTTTATTTATATGTTTTTGACATTTTTATTTGTGCGCTTTTGTGTTGTTTATTTGTGTAACTTTGTTATTTTTATTTGTGTCATCTTGTATTTTTTATTTGTATGATTTTGTCGTTTTTAATTATACACTCTTATATCTTTTACATGATCTCGCAATTTTTATTTATATTGTCTTGTATTATTTATTTGTATGATCATTTTTAAATATGCACTTTTTACTTATATGCTTTAATTAACTTTTATTTATTTTGCATCTTTTACTTACATAATCTACTAATATTCGTTTAAAAGAATTCATTTATGTAATACGATTCTTTTCTATCCAACACCACCTGTTTTGAACCTCGCTGTTCATTTCATCTGTAAAACGAATTTCATCGAATTTGATCAATGCAATCAAGAGAGAAGGTTGTCTCGAATTTTACCGTTGAATTA